TAGTATGTGTACATCATTATAGATTTTTACAATATTGATATGATTTTGACAATCTCTATTGATGCTTTAATTTTACAGCTTTATATGATTTATTTATTGATTGATAGTATTGATATGATGATTGTTTTATAGATTTGACATCCATTATGGTTTATTGGTTTCCTCTATTTACTGTTTTACTGGCTTTCATATTATATTATATTATTAGTTACAAACTTTATTGCTACTATGTATGTGTTTTATTATTTCTACATCAATTCATGATCATACGACTACTACTGCTACAAATTGATTAACAACATACATATTTCTTTTTTATCATGCTTGGAGTCAATTGTAAGATTAGACGACCTACTAGATTTTTTAGTTCATTATATGTGGTTCAAATGATTTCAAGTCAGAGCAGAGGATAAGGCATATGAGATTGATTAGATCAAAATTTTGCAAGTTTATTGTTAGTTTATTTCTTTGTCTTTTAGTTATTCTTTTATACTTAGGACTGATGATGATATATTATAATTATAAGATTCCTTAGTATTGTATATGATTTTGAAATAAGAATGCATATGTATTTTGATGTTTGGATTATTAGTTTTGTTTAAGCTAATATTATATTGCTAAAGAAGAAAAAGGTAACTCTGGTATTAATTTTAAAAGAGTAACTCTTTCAAATTTAACCTTGGGACATTACACAATATATCCTGATAATGGCGACTTTGGTCATCCAATCATCCCCACGACCTCTTTTGCCCGACTACGACTTTACAATCACTATCACCCAACTTCAGTCCTCTGACCATTATTGTCTAACTACTATCCTCCAACCATCACCTAAATATGATCCAATAACCTTCATTGATCGACTACGATCCCCTGACCACTGTACCTTCATACAGTCCTCCAAGCTTCATCTCCCAACTACGATCTTCCAACCATTGTTATCTAACTATGATACTTCAACCTTCATTGCCCAACAACGACCCTTCGACCACCACCACTAGATTACGACCCTCCGACCAAAGCTTGACTATATTCTTTCAACCTTTTAACATACTTATAAGATCTATAAGAATGTTATTATTTATTAACTCAATAGAAATATTTCTTTAATATAACTATTATTTAAATTCACCTGAATGAGTTATTTGTTAATTATGATGATTTTGGTGTTGCATATATACAGTATTATAAAAATAGTTTCAAAGTTATAGGATGTCAGTTCGTAAATAGAAAGCATTGATAATTTCTTCACTTGCCTAATCTTATCATTTGGCCCATGTTCTGAGAGTGGCCTTTATCAAAATTTTAAGTTCTAGATAAATTCCTTAAAATTATATAAATTCACTCATAAATAATACTATAAAAATTTGGCGACCACTACTAATTTTAGGATTAGTCTTGTTATGTACTAAAAATTTTAAGTATGCTAAGTGCATGTTTTACTTCTCAACATTATACAAAGATTTAGCATGCACAGATAAAGTAGCAAGATCAAAAAAAAAAATTACATGGAAAACTAGAAAAGGGGAAAAATTATGGGGCATGGCCTGATTGAAAAATCCATTATATTGTAAGTGATACAAGAATCCTCCCTTCTTTGTCATTGAAGAAGAGGGGGATTAAACAGACACTAATTTTTTCTGAGGGAGCTTACATAAATTAAGTGTCCAAAATGTGGTAGTTAACACGCAACAATATGACTTAATTTTTCTAATAAAGAGTATAAAGGTATCTATTGATGGACTTTCATAACCACAGAGGTCATACCAGTAGAGTGAGGTAATGATTTTTTGGTTAGACGTACTCTTCTATTATAGAAGAATTATGGGATAAATATATTTTATTGGAGTTATTAGATAGTTATGATCATTTTGTATAAATATATTAAATGTAATATACATTTATATGAATGATAAATTTCCGGTTTATTTTGTATATTGATCAGTTAATGACTTTATGTTATAGAATTGAACCTGAGCAAAACATTTGTCGTGTATTTGACCTAACATAACATGTCATAATACTTAGGTTATGTTGAGCTAGGCTATGGCAAAATTTATGGTATCAAAGTAATGATTTTGGAAGAATTTATAAAGTGTAAAGCCATGAATTGATTATGAGATAGGTAGAAATTTGAGTAGTTTTAAGTTAAATATTTGCATGCATTTGTGTTATTTTGAGTAATTACATATAATTATTTAGGTGTGATGGTATTATGGTTGTGATTTTATAGATTCTTAAGAACAAAAAATGACCAATGGACAAAATTTCAATCAAACATTACGGGCACATAATATAGTAGGTCATATAACATTAGACCCCATGATGTAGTTTGTCAGTTTAGTAGCCCAAGCTAAAGGGTGATGCACAAAGTAGTAGCCTTCTAGTAGAGAGGATGAGAGTGATAGACATCTACAGATGATTTAAAGGTTGAAGGCCCCACTTTTCAAGGATGTAATGGAGACACATATAGCAAATGATTCTTTATTGAGAATAGAAAATTTTTTTATGGGATGTAGTACTTAGAGAACTGAAATATATCAGTGGCAGTACTTTTAGAGAAGAAGTAGAGTGCTGGTGGTTATCAAAAATAGAAGTTTCATGGCATATGGAATACTCTAGTTGCTCAGGAGGAGTTTATGAAAATTTTTAGAGAGTGGTTTGTTCCTCCTTCAACCACAAAACAGATGTGAGAAGCTTTTGTGAGGCTAATGTAAGGGAGGAGGATTGTTATGTAGTATAAGTCTGGATAGTTATGCTTCATAAATGGTTGGTACTGTTGAGAAGTTTTAATGCTTTCCAATAGGGCTTTGGTATTATTTTAGTATCTTTTAGTTCTCTTAAGGATTCGAGATTTCATAGAGTTAGTAGAGAGAGAAAGATTTGTGAAAAAATGAACTTGTTATTGTAGAATATAATATAGGACATCCTCCTAGAGCATATGTAATCATCTATGACAAAGAAAACCAATTAATGAGAACAACTAAAAAAGGGCTCCATTGAAAAAATCTTAGCCCTAAAAAAATGAAGTTTTACTTAATATTACTAAATGTGATCCAGAACTATATGAGTACTATTTGGAACAATGGACTGCTCAAATTGCTAGAGAATACAGAAGCTTTTATGAGGCTAATGTAAGGGAGGAGGATTGTTATGTAGTATAAGTCTGGATAGTTATGCTTCATAAATGGTTGGTACTGTTGAGAAGTTTTAATGCTTTCCAATAGGGCTTTGGTATTATTTTAGTATCTTTTAGTTCTCTTAAGGATTCGAGATTTCATAGAGTTAATAGAGAGAAAGATTTGTGAAAAAATGAACTTGTTATTGTAGAATATAATATAGGACATCCTCCTAGAGCATATGTAATCATCTATGACTAAGAAAACCAATTAATGAGAACAACTAAAAAAGGGCTCCATTGAAAAAATCTTAGCCCTAAGAAAATAAAGTTTTACTTAATATTACTAAATGTGATCCACAACTATACGAGTACTATTTGGAACAATGGACTGGTCAAGTTGCTAAAGAATACCAAAAGAATCACCAAGATATTGTAAATAATGGTAACGAGATGATAAGAAGAGTTGAAAACTATATCGGATATGTAACGAAAGCTGCATGAAAAGCCTACAAGAAAAAATTTCCTAAATAAGTTACAAAACTGGCAAACCAATGTAACAATATCCTAAATTTTATATATTTGATTCATAGAATATTGACTTCTAGAGATGCCAACACTGGACTAATATTTAAGAAAGCTAGTGTCATGAGAGATTTGAAGTAAATCCAAATAAGAAATTGGAAGTATGTTAAATATTTTTCAAATGAATTTTTAGCCCTAATAACTATATCTGGCAACTATTATTATGCTCAATTAGGAGAGATTGTTTACCAGGAGAGTTAGGAAAAGAAATGCATCATGCCTAGAAGAAATATAATGTTACTCTATTGTTTGACAATATTCTAAATAAGGATCCAATTTTTATTTAAAAAATTTCTTTTTGGAAATTCAACTACTTCACCAATTATATCAGAGTGGGCTATAAAGTGTGGTGAATACCTATTTAAACAAAAAAATGTATCACCCAAACAATCAGATCTAAAACCAACTAATCAGATAGATACTCCACTTGAATATCATACCAAACCACCAAAATCACCTCATAAGGCAAAGCATTCAAATAAGCCTTATAATCCACAAAAAACAACCTCAACCTAAGCTTCCTAATCCTAACTATACATGTGAAATCCCCCTACCTTACAAAACCAACAAACAAAGAATCTTTGATGAAGATTTGTTGGAACTACCTGACAATGATTAAATTTTTTAAATCATCAAAATTTATCTTATATTTTCTAAATCACCAAACATCAAATGCAGGCCTACAAAATAAGTGGCCTAGCAGAAGGCTAGGATCATCGAATCATTAATACTAAAATCATGCATCAATTCCTTAATTTTCACGACCGAACTTACCAATATGATCCAAGTGTTACCTACAAATAAAGTTAAATTCAACACTAAACATTGAGACGTACATAGTGGGATAAAAACTTGATGTTGTTGTTGATGTAATAAACATTAAGTGAAAAGCTTATAATAAAACTATTTTGACCTTAAAAAGAATTTATCATCTTGCATGGATGCACTTTTTTATTGAAATATCAAGAAACTCACACAACGCAAAATTTTGAAAATGGCTAATGCATACAACTATAAAATTATCTTATTTTAGAGAAAGAGATTGTTATTGTAGCGTGTTAAACTATAATGTGGGCATTCATTAGTCATAACTTCTATCATAAAATGTTATTTTTATAATGCACCCGTTTGACTCCAAATAATAATAATAATAAAACAAACATCGCAACTCCAATTTAATATAAATAGTTACGAGCGATCACCTGCAACCACAGCAGATCTATTAAAAAGTTAATCTCCTCGTCATCTTCTACCTGACTAGATTCGTAAGATATCTAAGAAATACTTTCCTCCATTAATGGACGCCTTCTTCATCAGCCATGGATCACCGAGGCTTCTGATCAGTGATAAGCCAGCGAGACACTTCCTTGAGTCATGGAAGTCAAAGCATTTGCAGGTGACACCTAAGGCTATTTTGGTAATATCCGCCCACTGGGAGACCACTGAGCCAGCAGTGAACATCATCAATGGCGTCAATGACACTATATATGACTTCTACAACTTCCCTAAACATTTGTATGAGGTTAGTCCTCTTTTATGATTCTCTTAGTTCATTATTTACTTCTATTTCTTAATATTAGCTGCTTGTTAAGGAGAATTTAGCAAGTTTTTCCAGTGGCTTCTTTTTTTAAGAGATTTTAAGTAAACGCAGCTCATGATAAAGTTGTATCTTTTTTTTATTATTATTATTAGAGAATGATAATGAACAAATGTATAAGGCATATTGTGTGTGTATTAGTACACATTATATGATTTGCAGATAATATCTTTTAAGGCTTTTTTATATGGGTGTCAATTTGGGTTAACGGTTCGGATTCGGGGGCCAACCCGAATTAACCCGGGCATAAATGGATTGACCTGAACCCTACCCCGTCTAACAAATGGGTCGTGATTTTTAATATGAGCCCGACTGCGCAGGTTAGGGGTAAACCTGAACAGACCCGACCCACAAACCTGGAATAGGGTTTAGGTTTAGTCGAGTTTGGTCGACTACTCCAGCGCGCGGGCTTGTGATTCCGTTGAGCACGAGTCAGCAAGTGGTGAGTGCACCAGTGCGGGCCGTTTGCGGTTCGACAACTGGTCAAGCGCGACTACGCGAGTGCCTTCCGCGGTCAGACTGTCCGATACTCCGAGTGCACCAGTATGGGCTACCGCGGGGCGGCTATCGGCGACAACAACTGAGCGGCAGTAGCGTAGTTGGAGAAGCCAAGAAGGTCGAACCGCTGAAGGGTTGATCGCTAACAGGCGACAGCAGACAGCGGGTCAATTCGAGTCAAACTCGAGTTTCCGGGTTGACCCGAACCCGAAATGAATTATAAATTGGTCCAAAAATAAGACCCAAACCCAACCCATTGCTTTATCTGGTCAACCAGAACCTGAATTTTTCAGGTCGGGTTCGGATCCGATTTTCAAATAGTGTCAAAAATTGACACCCCTACTTTTTTTTTACTTTAAAATTGCTTTTTCATGAAAAAAAAAATTAAACTAAAAAATTTTGTATAAAAAGCTACTTTAGAAAAAAAAAAAAAAGAAAGGCATCCCAAATCAAGCCTAACTTGCATATCTGAGTTGCGTTAAATAAAAGAAAACCAAGTCTGCTTACAAATAATATGGGTTGCATCTCAGATATCTCAGGAGTGTTGCATATCTGATGCAATAAGGATTACATGAAAAGAACAAGAAGTTAAAATCTTCATGAATATAACATGACTTTGTTATTCAAATAACCTATAAACCTGTTGTATGCTACTGATTTGCATCAGAACTGCATATATTTAAAAAAAAAAAAAATCAGCTAATTCAGCATTTTTACAAATAGTTGCAGCACAAATATCCCATAGAAAAATTGCATACCTGATGTGCATCAGAAATTCAGCACTACATGAATTGTACCTCAAATATCCCATAAACTTGCATGCCTGATTTGCATTAGAGTTGCATCAAAGGAATCATAAGCTAGCATCAGCTTTCATGTGTGATTTGCATTAAAAAAAATCAAAATCAAAATAATCCATCAATTCTTTAAGGTGAGGGACTAAAATAATCTCTAATTCATTTAATGGACCAATTTGATTTCTCAATTCTTTAAAATGAGATCTTTTTTATATTTGCATTTTATTTCTCTAAATCAATAAATATCATATTTTTATAAAATATGACTAAAATTTATAAATTTAAATTATTATTATTTTATTAAAAAAACATTTTAAAAAAATTATAATTATTTAAAAATTATTTAATAAATATTTAATTAAAAAATAACCAAAATACTCTTATATTTATCATCATGACAAAAAAAAAAAGAATTGGGAAACCAAAATTGATCTCTGAAAAAACAAATGAAAACTCACAAAAAAATTAACGTACCATTTTGATTGTTTTTCTCGTACATAATGTCATGCTCTCATGCATCAGAACTGCATCAAAAGAAACAACAAAAGCTAAAATCGAACTGTATATGAATGAGTTGCACCTAAAACACCCCACAAACTTGCACACTTAATTTTCATTAGATTGCATCAGAAAGCTGAATCCAACAAAACCAATTTAGACATGATTCGCAGCTCAAACATCCCACAAGCTCCATAAATTTTATCCACTACAGAGCTAATTATAGTCATTTATCTGTAGCTCAAATATCCAGCACCTGGTGCACCAGAACTAGCAAAGAGGGTGAAGGAATTGCTTCAGGAAGCCGGCTATAACAGTGTGGAGGAAGACAAAAGTCGTGGACTCGACCATGGCGCCTGGGTTCCATTGATCCTCATGTACCCAGAAGCTAACATACCAGTCTGCCAACTTTCAGTTCAATCTCACAGGGATGGAACATATCACTACAACATAGGAAAGGCATTGGCTCCACTAAGGGATGAAGGTGTTCTTATTTTTGGATCAGGAAGTGCGACACATAATCTAAGGTTGCTGGACCATGATAATGTGGCAACACCCAGCTGGGCTGTGGAGTTTGATAATTGGCTTACAGAGTCTCTCCTTAATGGAAGGTATAAACATACTTCTTTATCCATGATTTTATTTTTAATTCAGCTCCCTTGACATAAACGGCTTTGTTTGGATTGAGTAAGAAGGAACGAAATGAAATCTCAATAAGTTGTTGATTGATTATAAATCTACAGCAATTGAAGTGAAATCATTTTACAGAAAATAAAGAACTGATCTGAAGTTTATAGCCTGTAAAAAATTCTTTTGATTCTAATGCAGATGAAATTGAAACTAATTAATCCAGAACAAACCAAAAAATCATATTAAGATTTTGATTACAAAAGCTTTTCCATTGCTTTCATGGCAAAAGAAAAATTTAGAAAAAAATAATGTCTGTTTGCAAGATATATTTTTCACCACTTGTTTACAATTTTTGCCCTTCATTACCTGTTTTTGGAAAAGCATTTTTTAAATTGTGGCTAAACTTGGAAAAGCAAAAACAATAGTTCAAAGCTGCCCCAAACAAAACCTTAAACTACTTTTATTGTAGGAGAAATAACAAACAAAACCTTAAACTACTTGCCTAAATTTTGCCTTAAAAAAAGCTGCTTTTAAGAAAGCATAATTGACACCGATTGAGAAAATAGTTTTTAACAATAAAAGCAGAAACGCATAAGCCTCCCAAACCGAAGACTTTAACTAAATCGAAATCTAAATTGCATTTCATTAGTGACCAAATCAAGACCAAAACTTGACATAAGGCTAATATGGGTAGCTCTCACATATAGGGGGAGCATTAAGGCATGTAAGAATATTGAGTTTAATCTCACATTAGATAGGCATATGTTGTTGTTTTCCTTATTTTAAAATCATAAGGAATCCATAAAACTTGACATAAGAAATACCCCTGGTGATAAAATTTTTGGATGCAGGCATGAAGATGTGAAGAACTATGAAGTGAAGGCTCCCAGTGCTAAGACTGCACATCCAGAGCCTGAACACTTCTATCCCCTGCATGTTGCTCTCGGTGCTGCAGGAGAGAAGGCAAAGGCAGTGCAGATTCATCAAAGCTGGGGAGCTTCTGCGCTCTCTTACTCCTCTTACAAGTTCATGACCGAATAGTTCATACACCATGATTTGTGTATTGAAGAATGATAGAAGAGTGGCATACAATTTCAGTAACTTGGTTGTGTTGAAATGTTTCTTTTTAATTTGTTTTTCTGCTGAGAAAGGTGTTGATGTGTGAATTGAAACGTCTATGAGATGAAAAATGTAGCTTCCTTAATTGAAATATGCTTATCTTGGTTTGTCCACAGCTTTGAACCTCTCATGATTACTTCGAAACAATTGCATTAATGTTGTTGCCCAAAACTTAAGTTTCACTTGGCTTAACTTTAAGTTAGCTTTACGGCAATATAAGCTGTCGCACAATAAATATATGATATTTCGGCAAAAGATTGGACGCCGTCTATTCAATTGTAGTTGAACAAGCAAAAATAGAAATATTTTTATGCTCACTCAAATCAACACATTTTCAAAATCATCTCCATACTATTTGTAATATTCAAGAATTTAAAAAAAGTAAAAGTAAAAATTTATTCAAAATATTATATCCTAATATTTGCACTCTCGAAATTGATATGTAATATTTTTTATAAAATCCCATATTTTGTATTCATCAGTCTCTTAGATATATGCATATGGGCAATTTTAAGTACACAAGCTAAATTACAGGGAACTGTTGTAATATAGCTTTTCTCATTTCCTACCCCACTAATCCATGCATGCATCAACTTACGGTGGACAGATGAGATTTGTAGTTAGGAATATAATGGTAATATAATAGCTTATATAAATAACAAGTTTAAGCAATTCCCTCATTTCCAAATAGCGTATTCAATGAGCTGAAGGCCAGAGCGCTGAAGTAGGCCGAAGGAAGTAAGGGGAGAAAAGAAGAATAAGAGGAGAGGATTCAGAATTTTGTATTTTCTTCCTCAAAACAACTTCGAATCAAAGTAATATGAGGAGGAGAAGTTACTCTAAGATTGTGCAAAAAAAAACAAGCCTTCAAAGTATTCATAACAAGGAAGCTTGAAGTGTGGTTCCTCATCAATTTAGGTAAGATAACTCAAATTTAATTCAGAGAGTAAATTTATATGAAACAATAGAGCATAAATTTGATAAATTAGATTAGTACATAAGCTATATGTATCAAAACGTTCTTTATATTAAAGTACAAAGTTAATAACCAATTTCAAATTAAAAGTATATGTATTTAATGTTCTAAGAAATGAAAATCAATGATGCATAAATCTAGATGTTTAAAAATGAAATTGAATGAGCTTAAAAGAAAGGTCTTGTATATAGATAGATTAGCAATAATATGTATATAATAATCCGGACAAGTAGAATGACAAAGGTCTGCCCATATAAAGGTAAAAGGCTGCTCAAGCTAATATGTATACGATAAACTGTACATGTAGGGAACGTGAGCCCTTATGAAGGTGAAAGTGTCCTCAATACCTAGCTTTGAGCTTATGATATCCAATAAATCTGCTCCTACATACATGGCATATTCTAACACTGAAAGGCGAATTTTTATGTCAAGTAATAAAAAAATTTATGAAAAGATTAGTTTAGAATGTTCAAACCGATGCAAAAATGATAAATATAGTGTTCATAATGTTTTAAGCTCTAGCATTCTATTAAAGAATTTGTTTTCAATTTAATATTTCACTTACTATTAAATCAATAATTATTCCGGTATTTTTATTTTAAGGATAATAGGTAAGTTACTAGACTTGTTTATGAATATAATTTAATTTCTATAATATTTGATTTATGCATTAAAGTTGTTGATCTTGTTGAGCTTCTAAGCTCATATGACATTATATTGAATGTTATTTCAGGCAAAGGAAAGAAACCAAATTCATCAGCAACACCTGGGGGCTGAACCTGGACAGATTTAAGTTCCTATTGTGGGACTCAATAAAACATTAATTCATTATGTGAAAAGAGGAATTAAGGAAGAGATAAATGAGGAAAGATTTCCTAATTGAAATTTAAATTGGAGAGGAAAACATATTAGGAAAGGGGGCTGATTTGGAGGGGATTAATTAGGAAATGTTTCATAATTAAAGAGAACATATTTGGGGGCTGAATTGGAGGGGACTAATTAGGAGATGTTTCCTAATTAAAGATGACATATTTACTAATTTGAGGCTGTTTTGGTATTTGTTGATTATTGTTTGTTATAAGTAGTAGGGTTTATGTTATGTTTTGTATGCAAAATTTTGTGAGTATTTGTTGTCTACTTTTTTTATGAGGGATCCTAGCAGCGTCTAGGATTTGGGAGAGACAATACTCCTCTCGAAAAAGGACCATTGTATCTTGCTTTTGCATATTGTCTTGTTTAACAATAAAAACCTGCTGTTTGCTGAAATTGTATTGGTTTGTTGGCAGCTTTTTGATACCAGGGCATATAAAATTGGTATCAAAGCTCTTTCCTGGACAAAAATCTCAGTTTTTGTTGTTGAATTCGGCTGAGATTTTCCTTTACGTCTACTTCTGTTTGGAGGCAAGATTCGCTTTAAAACTGTTGTTTTTTGCTATGAAAACTTTGATCCAAGTACCAAAGGCCAAAAAAAGAGTTGAAGTGTTGGAAGAAAAGTTGGTGGGGAAGTAGAGCAACTATGAGTGGATGTGAATGAATGTATTTCAACATTGGAAGGAAGGTTTGAGAATATGGAGGAGATGATGAAGCGGATTTTGGAGCTTCCTACTAAAATAACCCTGCTAGAAGCAAAGAGAGATCAGGAAGATGATATGCCAAGAGAAGATGGAGAGGGGGAGATTTTAGGAGGGGAGGAAGAAATACCCCACCTAGAGCCTCTACCGAGAAAGGGGGTGGGTACATGGTTTAAAATTGTGCAATAAAAGGCGCGTCTTAGCACAATGTGGTCCCTTTAAGCCTCAAAGCCTACGCAATAAGTTAAGGTTTTGAGGCTTACGCCTTGCCTCACATTTTTGAGGCGGCGCCTCTAATAAAATTAACCTAATTTTTTTTTTCAGTTCCGACCCCTAATTGCGCCTAGTGAGATGTCGACGTGGTATCAACATTTAAATCCTGGTAAAGGTCGAATGTCAGACGCTGCGTTACGGTTTTCAAGTTCCAGCAAACATTCCAACTTTCAAGCATTCACTCCGGAGCAATTCCAAGCATTCCCTCAGTTCCTTCTCAGATGTCATCACCCACAAAGAAAAAGGTAATTTGCTGCCATGATTTCTGTTTAGTTCTGCGTATTTTATGGTTATGTTATGCGTAGGTGTTCAAGATTTTGAAGTTCTTCATTTTTTTATGCTTACGCTATGCGTATGCGGTGCTTCTCGAAACTTTTTAAATGTTTGTTTGATACTTTGATTCCATCGGTTTTTTCTGTATTTAGGATTTATGAATTTATGTTGAAATTTGAAGCATAAACTCTAACTAGATTTTAAGCACCGAGTACTCTATGCGTATGTTGTGCATACTCTACACGTATGTTGTGCATACTATATGCGTATGTTATGTGTATACTGTGCGTAATAATTGCTTATGTTGTGCGTACATACTGCGTGCATACTTTATGAGTGCGTATAATTTGTGCCATATTTTTTGAAATGTGCGTTTTTGTGCGTATGTTGTGAGTACTCTATGCGTATGTTGTTCGTGATCGTTGCATGTTTTGTGCGTGTTTTATGCTTATGTTGTGCATTTTTTGTGCGTATCTTATTTACTTATTCTATACGTTTTTTTTTTTTTAATTTTCAGATATATGTTCGTCCAATTACCTATCGATGTTATGTTTCTACTTTTCAATTAATCTGTGATAACTTTGCTCAGCAAATTTCTCCTGAAGTCGTTGACACATTGAAACGGTTGAAGATCATACAGTTTTTGCAATTTCTTGGGTTTGAGCAAAATGTCTCTCTTATTTATGAGTTGATATTAAGGTGGAACATTTCAAAATAATGCTTTATTCTAAAAGATGATTTTATTCCTTTCACTGCTGATGAAGTGGCCCTACTTACTGGTCTGCTAAATAAAGGAGAAGAAATATCCTGGCTTTCCTTAGCACATACTTCAATTACATCATCGGAAATTAAGGCAGACATGCTGGAGTTGAACAAGCAAACCCCCCCCCCCCTTGAGACTATGTTAATAACGTTTATCAAGTATTTATGTTCAAATTTATTTTTTCAACTTAACAATTTCAAAACCCCTCGGTTGCTTCAAAAAATAGCAAATAATCTAGATAATTTTTTGTATATAAACTATGCTAATTCAATTAGAGAATTTTTAGTTGGAGAGTTTAATAAAGCCTCCTCCAAGATTTCAAATAAGAAGCCAGCAGGTTACATCAACGGTTTTGTACATCTGCTAATTGTGAGTGCTAAGTGCTAACTGCTAAATTCATTTAAAATTTTATTGGCTCAATGTGATTGCTAAAATTTTCTTTCATCTTATGCAGATTTGGTTCCTGGAGCATACTTCTTTTTATGCTCCTATGTATGCTGACAAAAGGCCCCGTTTTCTACGATGGGCCGATGATATTGTATATACTACAGAGGTGGTCACTAGGGGTGCAAACGAGTCGAGTCGAGCTCGAGTCAGGGGGTGTTCGAGTCGAGCTCAACCGTCAAATACCGAGCTCGAGCTCAAAATTCAAGCTCGAGCTCGACTCGTTCCTTTATAAACGAGTTCGAGCGGCTCGTCGAGCCGCTCGTCAAACTTTTTGCACGGTCTTATTCGCGTTCTGGTTCATCGAGCATGGCACGGCTTTTTAAAACGAGAGAGGAAAGAGGGAGAGAGCGTGGCTTTTTAAAAGAGAGAGAGATAGAGAGAAAGCCAAATTGAATGACTAAAAATACATTTAATATTCAGCCGTTTACATCATCATTTACTGTCTACATTTATTATTCAGCCGTTCAGTCTGTCAGAGTCTCAGAGAAATGGCAGAGAGAGAGGGAACTTTGAATGCGGGATTTGAGAAATAAAAAAAGGAACACGATAATTTTGAAATACTTACTAACATTTACTATTTCTTTTTTTTATATTTATATTTAATAATTATTCAAGCCGGCTCGCGAGCTCACGAGCCGAGCTGTCTCAAGCTTCGAGCTCGAACTCGAGCTCGAGCTCGACTCGTGAGCTTGATAAGCTCGGCTCGCGAACGCATAAACGAGTCGAGCTCGAGCCGGCTCGGCTCACTTGCACCCCTAGTGGTCACTAACTTATTTGCTAATGTAAGAAAAAGTCAGATTTATAATATCCTCCAAGCAGTTTTCCAGGCTGAAATGGATATGGTTAATGTCAAAAAATATCCATCAGACAGCCCTCAATCTCCTGATTCCCCTCATGAAATATCCATCAATCAAAAC